GGAGGAAGGGGCGAAGGAAGAAAGCAGCCTTCCTTCAAACCTTCCAACTCCTCCGGAGTCAAACGATGCGATGACACCCAGCACACAACGGATAAAGAGGATGGGGAGCATTGGGGCAATTTTGTCGAGTGATGATGGGAGTGAGGAGTGGCACGATGCGTCGGAAGTATTGTGAGGGGGGGAGGGGGAGGGGGAAGATGTAGTGTAGATATATTTCTGGGGGACGGACGATACCAAGATACAAATGAAGATTATTGACTCCAGCCCTTGCCAGAGCATCAAGTGACGTTTTGATCTCATCGCGGCTCTGATTGTCTATTGAACATAATATTTACGTCTGCTGTTCTTCAGCTTTTTGGTCTTTGGAGAAAAGCTTCCCCTATTAGCTGAGAGGTGTCCTGAGATATATTTCCAGTGTGATTTTCCTCATCATTTTCTAGCTAGAATTTTACAGTCTGGGTGCTGCTGGTTGTCTGTGTCCTCCAGTTATGCTTATCAAAGCTCCATTTAGAATTAGCATTCACCTTCACTCACAAGCGTGAGGCACTAACTGAATGCTCACCCCTGCTCTCAACTTTTGCGACGCAGGCATGAATGAACTCAAGTATCAATTTGCTCTGAGAATCGTCCTCGGTTCCAATTGATAGGATATTGCTGAGATGGCACGAGTCAGAGGTATTAAGAGTAAATGGTGATGAGCTGCGCTACCTGAGATGATTATGCTTGTCAAGGACGTTGAAGAATGGCAAGGTGCCAGCTGGTTTACTTCGAGCTCGGTATGCATTGAAAAAGGCGAGTTGGGCCTCAACGGCTTCATTCCTACAAACATAAGCAAAAGAATACCCCGAGCGGAGCTTAGATCTTACAACTCCCACTTCACAGTTCCAATGTAGGTAGGAATCTTATAGGTATCGAGATATTCTCCGAATCGACTTCTCAAATTTAGTTCAACGTAAGAACTGAAAAAGGAAGAAGTCTTACATTCAAAAGCAGACCATGAATAAGAATAGCATTTTCTCTCTGGTAGGGACCAGCCCTGTACATTCCGTAACACTCCAATACCAAGAAAGCTTGCAGGATTGCTAGATCGGGTACAGGCCCGCTCAGCAGGCCACTAAGTATATACGGCACGATGGCATCGTACAAGCAGACAGACAGTTGATGAGCATCTTTATCTTTGTATGTTGCTCCTAGGAGCATCAGAGACAAAATAGCAATGGGATCTGTGTCGCTGATATCCAATATCGCAACATGTATGAGAGGATAGGATGTGTTAAAGAATTCGAAAAATAGATCCAAGTATATTTGCATGTTCTCTAACGAGAAGTCAGGGCTGTCGCCGTCGATCAAGGTGCCATCGGGTCGGACAGGACCAATATCTGCGATGAACTCAAGAACCTCATGTCTCTTTTCGGATGTAAGTGAAAGGAATTGAAATTTTTCGGAAGTAAAGCCATGAGATCTCTGTATCTCTTGTGGCGCAGGTTGTCGTTCAGGTGGCCTCGAGTCAGAGGTAGCATAGGCAGGTAACGATGAGGTGGCAGTCGGGCCTTTATTCCCTAAAGAATCTGGCCTAGTGTCTGCTGAAAATATTGATTCGACAATGGGGGTTCTAATAGCATCCTCAGCGGCATTCTCTGACATTCTCTCATCTTGACGCATACTCTCAATCGATACCTTCATCGTACTTTGGGACAGCCCAGGTACTGCCGAAAATTGTGATTCAGCGTCACATTGAGTGAGGGCCTCATTGCCCATCAGTGACGGAGCCAACGATAATAGTTGACCCTCGCTGTTGGAAGATTGGACTGTTCCTTCCGGAAGGGCTTGGATCGCAGATGGGCGGTAGTCAGGTAATTGAGGTGCGAAGCCTGTAACATTGAGATGTACCAAGTCAAAGGTCATGTCGTGATACATATTTCCAATTTCGTAGAAGCTTGGTGATTGATCCGTATACATATTTGCCATTTGTGAAGTATTCGGATAGTTCACTTGAGAACTGAGGTAATCTGTCGTTAACTCAGACCCTGACATCTCTTGAGGCGGACTCCACTGATCACCAGGCTGATTTGCCAAGAAACCAACCGAGTCGGAGACATTACTTGTTCTCCGACTTTGATCGGTGTCTTGTGTCTCGGTAACAGGCGGGGATACTTGACATCCAGCTGTCGAAGGGGATGACGCGCGACGAGGCGAAGACACAGAGCCACTTGCAGATGAAGGAACCATGAAGTGTTTGCTCTTTGTCTCTAAAACACCAAGGCCAATACCGCCAGCGCGCTTATCTCTGATGGCATGCCGTGCCTTGTGGCGTTCTTCGATCCTCATATCAGTACTTGATTGGCCTTACACTTGTTGGAGTAAACAAAAGCAAAAGCGGGAAGTCGATTCTAGTGGATGACACACCTAGCAAGTCCAGTCGCTTAAAACAAGCTTTGCATCTCTCGCAAATCAACTGTGTATCCGAGTGGTTCAAGGCATGGCGTTGGAGATGGGAGGGACGCGAAAATGCCTTTCCGCATCCTGGTACTTTGCAAGAATGTCTCTTCATTGGTAAGCATTGGCTTGAAGATCGAAATTCACGCGAGCAAAGGCTCTGAGTGGGAAGCAGGACTGTCGTAATGTGAACTTTTTCTGAGGAAGCGCTCTGGGGTGGGGAGCATTTGGGTGGTGCAAATCCTTTTGTAACAGGAACCTGCTCATCGGGTCCTCTAGGCTGGGCCCTAACCCCGCAAAAACATCAGTGGCTGTGGCACAGTCTGAGTCTGAGCCTAGATACCAGGATGACGGGATTTTCCAGGTCGTCGTGTCGGGAATCGGGTCATCCCTCGGAGAGCATCCGAAGGTGGGATTGAATGTCCGCTGTGGGCGTGAATTTAGCGAGCCCCCCTATTCGGAGATCTCGCTTAATTTCGGACCGAGTTCCGGCCGCCTTCCTCCTCCCCATTAAACTAGTCCTATATAAAGAGAATTTCAAACCACCAAGAAAATAGCTACCAGATTTCTGGATCAGCCATCGCTTGTAATAAGAGTGAATTTTCTTGGGTATCAACTAATCATATCCAAAGCAAAACCACACATGCACGGTGCGGCGAGAGATCCGGCCTTTACACTTGCATGGGGAATGATCTGCCAGCATTTCCCCTGCTCACAGGTTGTGGCCTTACAACTACCACCCAATGGGGCGAAATCAGGCGCTGCATTGGAGAACCCAACGGATGCAGCCTGTGAGGGGAAATGCACGCGTAGATCCCACCTTGCCAGCGGTAATATGGCACAGCAATGGAGTTAATTTCACATCCGCCGCTATATATATGCGGCCGCACCCTAAGAATAATTATCGTATGATGCTGACTTTACTACCCTTGTAGCCAAGCATATCATTAGATTTTATCCCATTCTTGTCAAGCATCTTTGTAATGGTTTCAACACCAGCAGCCGGGACTCTAACCTCGAATCCCTTCCATAAAGTCGGTTCCTTGTCATCGAGTATCCGATGTGGAGAAAGAAGATATTCCGGTAGCAACCCAAGTTGGATTAAGACAGTCGCTTGGTCCCACGAAATGTGCTTATGATTTAAGCGATCTCCGCGAAGGTTCACAACCGAGGTGAAAGGAATTCTCAGCTTTCTGCCTATTGGGGGAATCCCGAGAACACTATTCATTCAATCAGCGATTGCTCACTGAGCATGATAGCACTTACAGCCAGTCTACTTCACAAGTGTGAGTGAAATTCATAATGAACTCATACAAACTCGATGTATACCAATTATACAGCTAACGAGTTCCTTTTCTACATCCGGTGGGTTACTAAGAATGAAATGATCCCGGTATAAGGCGGGCGGCAGCTTCTTCCAATGTCGCCGATCATCTGAGAGCGTTAGTGGGGTTTCATCTCAGCAGAAGGTGCTTCCGGGATACTCACGTTTAGAACATGGTTGACGTGTGGCTCTTGGACCATAGTTCGTATCATTTTCGCAGCTGAGCAATCCTTAAACTCAAAATAGTAATGATGTTTCTAGATTACTTCTAGGTCAAAGTTATCGAGACCAGGCACGGCTAATTTGGACTTCATTGAAGGAAATTGTATCTCGCTAAGCCATCCTTCTTGATAGTCTTCGCTATAACCCCTCTAGTGGGGTACTGTAAGTATTACAGAGAGGCAATTGGGAGTGGTGACTTGGAAGCACTTCCATAGCAAACAGCTGTTAGTATTGAACAGCTTAGAGGGATTTTTGTAATAATCCGATTACATACTTCTGAATCGTACGCTGTTTTCTGTCAGTGAAGCATAATAAAGCAGACTCGATTTTGAATACCAATCAATCCAATTCCGGTCTCTTCATGGCATTTAGAGCAATCGTCCAACCCCGAGATTGTCAAATGGAAGAATTCATCGGTTGTACTGGCGCCCTCAAAAGCACCGTCAAGGATCTGAACAACTGCAAACCCTTCTTCAGATCACTTTAAATCGGAGGAACCATATGTTGACTTATCTTAAATAGCACAATGACCGCTAAAACCGATACCTATTTTAGCATTTTAGAGTAACAACTAATCTCGCTACTTTCACCTTTTCCCCATCCCACTTTCAACAGCAGAAGCGATTTGCGACTTGCGAGCTTGACTTGCGCCCGTTTTGGGGCATTGCGGTTCTGATGGTGAGTGGAGACGGTGGGAAAATGCACCTCGACGGTTTCAAGTCTCGACTGGAAGGGAGTCATCACCCTTATGAACCACGTGAAGTTGGCTCTGTTTCTTAATATTGGAGGGACCTCGGGGAACTCATATTTTCTCAGCTATTTACAGCTATGATAATTTCTTATCGTGAACCCAAGTGCCTACTGTGAGAACGTATACATCAGTCGAAGCTCATAAAAGCTTGGAAGTGATGGAAAGGATGCCCCTGAGCCCCTTTCTAAGCGAGCTTGATGATTCACTTCAGCAGAACTCTCCTCCGTCCATATAGAATCAAATAAGAGGATTTCGGCAAAATTAATTGGGGATGTAGCTCAACGGTAGAGCTCACAGGAACTATCAGACGATGGTGAGTAGTAAGGTGGACTGTCCTAACAGGGTGGAACTTGCACGCTCCCATTGTTTGGTTTCGAATTGTGGTATTGAGCTGGTTCGACTCCAGCCATCTCCAAATTTCTTTTTGAGCAGTAAAATTTTGCAAGCTGTTTCACGCAATCTTGTTGGATTATAATTCCTGTTCCCCTTTTGGATGGCAGCTGAGAGGCGAGAATCCTATTCACATTTGGAGGTGAAGTACTAGATCCAAGATTTTGATAGAGCTTAATTTATCAAAATAAGGGTTTTTTGCCAATTAAATTTGAGGGGGCGTAGCTCAATGGTAGAGCTCACAGGAAGTATCTAACGAGGGGCGTTCTAGTTGCCGGTACGCCAAAGAGTGTCATGTGCGCTAGTCTGACTTCTTGTCGGGTTTCGAACTGTGGTATGTGTTGGTTCGAGTCCAACCGTCTCCAAAATTCTTTTTTGAGGTTTTTGAAATCATGAATTTATGCTGTTTTTGATTTTGATTATTGAAAATATGTTGAGATGTTAGAAAATTTAGAGAGGTTGCTAGAGGTGTAAGCGAGGTTCTCGAGATTCACTCCGTGGAGCTGCCTTTTGACACCCGAGCAGTAGCAAGAGCTTTCGGAACTCCCTGTCAGCTGGTAGTGTTGCAGTGCCCGGTAGATGTTGACGATGAAATAGCGACCATCTGGACACAAATTTTATCGTAATCCCTTCTTTACTATTTCAAGAAATCTCTGCTCTTACTACAACAAGTACAACTGGCATCTGGTCGTGGAGTCTAGCACAAGTGGGTCGGAAGGAGGAGGAGGATGCTTAAGTTGTAAGGCAAACCTTGTAGACGGGGCCGATACATCACCACATGAAGTAATGAAGAGCGACTTTGCTCATCATTGCCACCTGCCTTTTGCGAACCTTGAAATAATTAACCATAAAGCCCAAGAAGTGAAGATCAACGAATATGAAGCTCTTGGAAAGATAAATCTCTTCGCTCCAACATCTCTGCCGCTTCTCAATCCATCAGTCCAAGCACAAAACACGTGCTGACGATGTGATAAGATTCACCAGCTCTGCGAAGAATCAATGGAACCGGGCATTTTGGAAGAACACACACAAGATCCCCTTTCTAAAAACCGTCGGGAGTTATACCCAAGATATCCTTTTCGAGTATAAAAGTGTCGGCATGCAGCAAAATGCCTTTTCAAATTGAGTTATTCATGAGCATATTGAGAACGAAGAGTTCGCCGACTTGACGGATTTCAAGTTGAGATCGTTCAGGTACCCATTGTAGGCAATTTCGATTAATGTAATGGTAGACTGAGTGCTGGTACAAATTTTTTAAAAGGATTGATAATAAGGGTGCTGGATAAGCGGATCCCATAGAAACATATACCCATCCCTTTCGACTATGATCTTTCAACCAACTTTGATGTCAAGGGTCACTTGACTCCGCCACGTACCATTATCTCAAGCCAAATGGCCGTGATTGTAGTATATATTCCTTCATGGTCCGTTATTATACCTTAACACCTCGCCTTGGAAATATGCTTGCATGCTTTTGCGCCTTAACTCCTATGTACCCATAATAGCACCTTAAACCAATCACGACCCATCCCCATTCAGGATCAGTTGGGCGTAAAACTTTACGGACTCAATATGTTCTTTCATCCCAACCCGTTCATCAACCGTATGTGCATTCGCTCTTCCCCCTTCCCTCACCGGACTGAACCGATATATGTTTGGTGTCAGACCCCAATAGAATTTGGTATCTGTATTCCCCGTCATCAAACTAGGCGCAACAATGATGTCCTCGCCCAGGACCTGCTTAATTGTCCCAGTGAAAGTTTTGTAAGCATCGGTATCAAATGGTGACACTGGAGATGGTTCCAGAGGCACATCAAAGTCTTCCAGTATAATCTGGCCAACAGCTGAAGAAGAGGTATTTCCTGATACATTGCCCCATGCATCCAAGGACAATGAAAATTTCTTTAGGATCTTAGATTCGACGAGGGTTCGTATTTTAGCACGGACATCGTGGACGTGACTTTCCACTGCAATACGGTGATTTATTACAGCGTAGACCTTTTCCGGCAGAGCATTGACCTTCACTCCGCCGGAAATGAGGTCTGTTGCTTGTGAAGTCTGGATCAGGTATCTTTGGAAGACGTCTTTCTTTGCGATATAGTCCGCGACTGACTTGGCGGCCTTCTTGCTCTTCAGTGATTTCTTGATCGTTTTGCGTAGCCAGGAATCCATATCAGGGGCGTGTTCTGCTGAGCACTGTAGGGTGGTGAAGTAAGCTGGAGATATTAGTAGATTACTCCAAGTGGAAAGAGGGGAACTGACGATTCGCAGGCGTGAGCTCTGGCTCATATGGCTCAGCTTCGATAGCCGAGATCACTTGAGATAGTATCCCGATCCCAGTATGGTCTGGTGGAACAGATGAATGCCCCCCAGAAGTCTCAACAGTTATTCTGACGTCCAAGTAACCTGGAAAAGATTAGCCAAAGTGCTGGTACAGAGCCATATCACTTACCCTTTTCGCCCAAGCCTGGCAGAGCAAAAGTCGCGCCATCTACTTCTTGGATTCCCAAACCACCTTCGTCAACAATGAGGTCGATAGAATCCTCTCCTCTTGTCTCTTCGAGATGTTTTGCAATAAATTGTGCACCTTGCGGTCCACTGATCTCCTCATCGAATCCAAATCCAGCGAGTATGGTCCGTTTGGGAGTAAAATCCTTCTCAAGAAGAGTTTCAAATGCTTCCAAGACACCAATTAGGTTATTTTTGCAATCAGTTGCCCCTCGTCCCCATATATATCTGCCATCGTAATGTGCCGAGTATGGAGGATATTTCCATCTGCTCTCTGTGACCTTGAGGACGGGAACAACATCTTGGTGTGCCATAAAGAGGTACGGTTTCAGCGATTCATCTTTTCCTTTCCATTCAAGGAGGATGCCGTACGTATTTAGAGGCGTAAATTCGAGCTTCGAATATCTTGACGACGTATTAGTATGTTAAAAGCACGAGTAGCTGTAATACTTACACTAAAGGAAACGTCTTCTTCAAATAATCATGGAATTCAATGAAAACATCCCATCTTGGATCCTCTCCGACCTTGCCCATATCATCAAAGCTCTCCGTCGGTATCTGTACAGCACCTTGCATCCTCTTCAAGCTCTTGTCGAAGAAATCTTCACTGCTAATCTCGCCTCGCACTTCCTTCTCCAGCTTCTTTCGGTCTTCTGAGGAGCTCTGTATTGCGGGAAATTGAGGACATGCCGATTTCCCGGGATGTGGGAAGATTTGAGAATCTTTACTACCTTTAACTGCTTGATAAATCGATAAAGTAAGAAGTAGGAAGACGGCAAGAGTGCCCGGGACAGCGAAATGCAGTATCCGCTTCCAGTTCCATCGTGTACGCTGTCGAGACGAGGTCAAGGGCTCTGCTTCTCCTTGTGGCAGAAGGGTGTAATTTTGCGACTTGAAAGCCATACTGGATGCAAGTTCGATTGGTGTCGAGCTCTCCAATATCGCAAGTGAGGTTTCGTGGTAGTCAAGCTCTCGACGTCAATTGCCCCGCTTTTGAGCTCCATAACCCCCACTTTCGAAATGACGTTTATTGACACACTTCACTTCGAGCGCAGTCTGAGCTCTCTAGGTTAAGGCCAAGAAATAGAGCTAATAATAAAGTGGAGAGTATTATCACTGTCAAATAACGTGTTTTAAACAAGTCATGAACAAGTGTTCTCATTCCCCAAAGCAGAATACATCAATCCACACGTGACTAAACTACACTTCAACCATAACCTCTTGAATTTAAATCTAAACTTGTCTCTATCTCTCCTTGAAACAGAAAAATCTAAAGTTACGGTATATCCACCAACTACTTATCATTCTTCACGTCCCAGAATTCCGCGCCCTGGTCCTTCTCCCACTGGACCTTCACCGCATAAGGCATCTTGTACGGCGGATATTCAGGCCATTTCTCCTTGATAAGCTTAAACAACTCATTGAAAACGACTCTATACCCTGCAGGACTTAAGTGTAAACCTTGAGGTCAAGTTAGCAAGCCACCAATATGTCAACCAGCCCCAAGAATGTCTCCAAACTCACCATCATCCAACAATTCTTCCAGCTCTTTAGACTTCCCCAGCTCTAAAGTCCCAGGAATAGGAAACGCATCCCCAGTTTTCCAACCCGCCTTCTCCATGAAAGCAGACCAGATATCCAAGACCGGAACTCCCGATTCTTTTCCTACTTCTTTCACAAGCTCTGCATACAGCTGAGCATCCGCTGCTTTCCTAGTTGGAGGAGGAACTCCCCATTCTTCCTGAAGCTTCACCAGCATGGTCTCTTCAAATGGTGGTGGTGTGATGAGAATAATGTTCGGTGAATGGACCGTCACTACTGGGTGATTGATAATTTCAAGCAAATTCTTCTTGAAACGGTCTGGAGGGACGTATTGAGCATGAATTAGGTTCTTATTGGCATCATTGGCACCGAACCAGATGGTCTAAGATCATACTTAGCTTAGCTTCATCAGCTGTTGGATAGAGCTGAGAAAGTCGGCCTACCAGGAAACGGACAGCGACTTGCTGGGGGTGCGCTTGTGGTAATATATTATGCACTACCTGCAAAGCATGGTCGGTGTTGTAACCGCTAGGTAGCTATGATTAGAGAAAGTTATTGAACCGTAGAAGAACATTCGTACGAGAATCCTCGATTCATCACATCCAGCCGCCTCGAGTACGCTGATGCCAGCTCTGCCCCCAGAGCAAAGCCAAGTGTCTGAGACCATGCCCCTTGGGTGATGCTATCTCCTGTACGAGAGTCAGGTATGCTCTGTTTAGGAAATGGAGGAGACAGACCGAAAAGAACGAATTGATCTAGGCAGGCCTGATAAGGTCAGCTTGCGAGCTAGAAGCTGAAGCTCGAAGATACTCACCATCTGTTGTCCCATAATCTCTCGTATACGTAAGAATCTATCCCTCCAACTCTGAAATTTATTTAACCCAAGAGAACATTTTGATGGATAACCCGTGTGAGGGGTATGATAGCAGCCGACACGTGATGTCAAATTCAGGCTGTATCCGAGGTCTTGCTGCA